AACCTTTGAACAGAACCAGGGAGCACTTCAGGCCACTCATCCCATCTGTGTGTATCTCTGGTGGCAGCCCTAGGTGTGTGATCTTGGGTGTGAGGGTGTAGAGGCCAGATGTGGAGAAGGGGATGCCCTGCCACTAAGCCAGAGCACAGAGCCACAGGTACCCTGGTGAGGCTGGTGCCTCAGTAGGCTGAACTGGTACTGGGGATGTGCTGCACACCTGGGCCTGAACCTGGGCCGTGGGGAAATGTGCATTAGCTGTGTGAGATGGGGTGTGTGAGAGCAGGTGCTCAGATGTGTGCAGCAAGCAATTCTTTGTACGGTCTCCCTCGAGATGGAGAGGGATGTTCAGATGGTTGTAGGGCCCAGGATTTGGGAAATCCAGTTTTAGTGATGAAAAGGAAAGCACTAATGTTAGGAAATGCCCTTTAGCAACTGAAAATCTTCAGTTCACTGGTGACATTTGCAGGATCATATGATTAGAAAACTCAGTGTCTGTGTGCCCAAAGTGGCTAAAAGGGCTTTGGAAAGCAGGCTGGGAAGCTTTGCACCCAGGCTTAAACATCAGCTCATGTGAGCAGGGGTCAGAGCTCTGATTTGCCATCAGTGAATGGGTTACCTGCTAAAAATAAAAGAAGTCCTTGTGTACAGATGGGTGGGTGGTGTTGGCTGCACGACTTGGTTATCTCTCTGGGACCATGGGTGAGGGGCCAGGGCTGGGTTCCAGCAGTCAGGGCAATGGCTTGCTCAGTGAGAAGAGCAGAGCTGGCTGCTGGCAGCCTCAGTGTTGGGTGTTCTTTGGTGGAGATGTCCCAGGGAAGCCAGTTTGCTCAGGAGCTGGTGTGTACACTCTGCACCCAGAGCAGGGGGAGCTGGCTCTGGTTCCAGTTTGCTCTGGATCCTATCAAAGCCACAGGATTGCTCCAAGGCTTTCCACCGGTTGGGATATTCATAGTGGACAGGCCACAACCTGCCCCTGACAGTCCCCATTACTGCCATCATTTGGCTGAAGCCTTTCCTACTGTCATTCTCATCTTGATTGTGGCTTTGATCCAGATGTTCATCTGGTGTGCTGTGGTTTCCCTGTCTGGGAGAAATAACTGTTTCATCCATCTTCAAAGTCAAATATGGAGAGCAGAGCTGGGGGACCTTTTAGCTCCTTGACTGCTGCTTACTTCTGCTGGGCACATCTCCTGCATGGAGAGCACTGGTCCGACCAGATCTCTGCAGTCTTTTGAGCACCTCAATGCCCTTTGGATGATATAGACTGGATTACAAATCTCATTGCAGTGCATGGGGACTGGCAAGGGAGAGTATCTTGCAGGTGTGTTTCACTTAAGCCATGGAGCAGGATCCTGCACCAGCCTGGTCTCTGCCTTGGGGAGTGACAGAGCACGAGCTGCTCTTCAGGGACTGACTCATTTTGCCATACGTGTTAGTTTTGGAATTCTAGTGCAGAATTCACTCTTCTGAGACAGCTTTCCACAGACAGGGTTTGGGTTTCTTTCAGTTTGAGTAATTATCTACAAACTCAGCCCTTTATATTCTGGATCTGCTCAGAAGCTGAGGATGCAAAATGTTGCTGAGAAGAGCCTTCCCATTTATTTGCTAATGTCTAACTGTGGCAGCAGAAGGGATATTGATAATAAACCTAGTGTCTCTGAGACTTTTTAAAAAAATGTGTGCAAGAAATGCATCCCCAAGGAATGGGCTCAGAAAACACAGGTGCTTAGAAAAAAACCAGTGTGTGGTTCAAGCCAGCTGTTTGGGTCTTGTTTCTCACACTGAGATTTTGATGTTTCTGCTGTAAACAGAGCTGGGGAAGGGGCTGGAGCACACATCTGATGATGAGCGGCTGAGGGAGCTGACTGTACAGAAAAGGAAGTTCGAGGGGACCTTCTTGCTCACTAAAACTCCCTGAAAGGAGAGTTCAGCCAGGTGGGGGTCATTCACCTCTCCCAGGAAATGAGTGACAGGAAGAGAGGACACAACCTCAAATTGTACTGGGGAGGTTTGGGCTGAAAAAATTCCATCATGGAATGTGTGGTCAGGCAGTGGCACAGGCTGCCCAGGGCAGTGGTGGAATCACCATCCCTGCAGGGATGTGATTAAAAGTAAAAACTGTGGATGTGGCACTTGGGGACATGGGTTTGTGTTGGGCTTGGCAGTGCTGGGGGAGCAGGTGGACGAGATGATTTCAGAGGCTGTTTCCAACCTGAAGGATTCTGTGAACACTGGGTTTGGGTTGGATGAGCTGTTGACAATTGTGAGAGAAGGCTGTGTGTTGGTGTCCTGATCCTTCAGGGATCAGGAAAGGGACTGACTTGGCTGTACACTATGGTTCATGTTCCACTGGGTATGCAACTGGACCCGAGTGCACTGCAGATGTTGTCTTTGGATTTCAGTTACTTCTTTACTAACCATGAAAATCTTGCTGCTTTTCCTTCATATTTGCTGAATGGCATGAGTCAGATATTAAAGCAGTGACTTCAGGTTCCACCCTGGGCTGGACCCTGACAAGGAAACACCAAAGAACTCGTAACAGAAACCTGTGCATTTCCTGAAGAACAGCAGGGTGGCCATTCCCTTCCAGCCCAACAGAGCCCTGGGGCAAGGCCATGGGGCTGCCTGTGTCTGTCAGATGTGGAGCACAAAGAGCCTCAGTATAAATACTCCCAGGACACAGTCAGTGAGGGCAGTTTTATTCCAGTATGCAGAATGGACTTTTTCCTCTGAACTTTAAAATAAACAACATTTTGGCTAAACAAATGGAACTGACCTTTTTATTAAAAGCATATATCTTCTCATGCTTGTTTCAGTAAGAGGTTGTTAATTTTATAGAACTCCTTAATTTGTGGGACAGCTGACTTAAGTAATTCCAATAGCATTTATCATCTTACTTTTTGCTCCGTGCAGCTGGAGAGTTTGTAGCCTTTTCTTTGAGGAGGAGAAATAAGAAAAGTAGCTCTAACTCTGTGTGTTCTTTGCACAGGTGGAGAGAGAGGCTGAGTCTATCAAGTTAATTTTTAAGTTGATGAAAAGATTCAAGTTCATGTTGAAGAGGATTGACCTGCCCACAAGCTCAAGCTTATTCCTGCTCAGATGCGAAGGAAGGATTACAGATAGTTATCAAGAGCAGCTTTGAAAAAGAGATTAGAAAGTCTTCTATTAGAAATGAGAAACTGTTCTGTAAAGTGAGAGAATCCTTGGGATCTGGTTCTGAGACACCAGTGAAGGGCTCTCTCCCTCTTGAGTGCGTGTAGGTGAAGGAAGCTGTCCTGACACATGCAGCCCTTGGTTGTGTGAGTTGCTCAATTTCCAAGACATGACAAAGCACTTGTGCTTACCCAAATGAGTGTTTTCAGGGCTTCAAGCATCATGTTCTTGTACCAGCTTTTTGGCTTTTTTCCTCTGTAGTGTGGCCAAGCCTCCAGCCAGGAACAGGCCCTTATTTTCTTTAGTTATTTTTGTTAGATTTTGGCTTAGTTGAACGTGACAGAACTGCCGTTTCATGAGAATGTTTGACTCCTGTTGTGCTCAGAGATCTCAAAACAAAAGCCTTTCCTTGGATGGGATGGTGAAGGTTTGTTTGCCTGCTCCTACCCCCAGGAGGCAAGGATTGCCGATTCCCCCCACTCCCCCAAAATGTAACAAACCTAATTGCTTTCATATCTCTTATTTGGGGCTGTGGTTGTTTTATTTCCTTTTATTCCTCCCTTTTTTTCCTTTTTATTGCTTTCATTTGAACTTCTTTTATGGATTTATTTCATCTTGAAATCCAGCCACCAGGATGAGGCAGCATTCCAGCTCTGATCCCAGCAGTGCTGGTGCACAGGGATTACTGTGCATGCCTTACATAAGGCAGTCCTGTTTACAGACACAGGGATTTTGGTTTTACCAGCAGTACAATGTTGTTGGATTGTGTTCAGTGTGACTCACTGTAACCTCAGCTCTTTATTTCTGCACAGCTGCCTCTCAACGACCAGGTTAAAGGCGATTGGCAAAACCAGGATTTTTCTAAATCTGCAGAGCATACCCTATTTTGGGGATGAGATACCCCCTGCCAGGGAGGAACATGGCTGTTTCTGGCAGCTTGGGTGAGCTGCTGCCTTACCTCAAAGGCAGAGAGCTCTCATTTCCACATGTGGCTCATCAGAGCCAGCTCCTGGTTTGCCATGTTGGGCTTTTCTCTGCACCTTCTCTCCATTTTTTGCATTTGCTGTTTGTTCCGTGTCTTCTCTTTGCTGGGTGAATGTTGAAAATGTGCTGGTGTGCTTTGCTGTTTGCAAGTGGCTCTTGTGAAAGTCATGGTTGGTCTGAACAGTTGAAAGGGAAAGGAGTCAGGCTGGCCTGCTGCCCTTCCCAAGGAGCATTTTTGATGGTTTTGGGATGTCCATGTCCACACATTCACTGCTGGGATGTACCACAGCGGATATAGAAATGGGAGCATGTGTATTTCTTCAATGAAATAAGGAGAAAAAACTTTAAAGATGGGATGGGAGAGCCTTATGGGCTTGGACAGTCCTTCAAGTGCTCAGGAAGCTTCTGAAGGCAGCTGAGAAGGGCCTCCTGAACCCAGCCACCTAAACTGGTTTAGGTGCCCTGTTCAGGTGAAACTTTGCTGTATTTATGGAGAGTTTGAATGTAAGTTTTCAGAATGGCTGTCGCCAGAGCAGCACAGGCCCATGGGGCTTCTGGTTGCCTTCCCCATCTCTGTATCAGCACATTCAGTTTGAAAGGCTTCATCAGGTTAAAGGGTGGTTACCAGGAATTCTCTCTGGGAAAGGCAGATTTGCAATTCTGATGGTAAGTTATGTAAGTAGAACACTTGGATCCTTAATGTTATGGTAAGGCAGCCTCACAAAGCCTGTTAAAGGGGACAGAAGACTCACAAAACGCGCGTGTGTTGGGGCCTGGGGCGCTCCTGGCGCGAGCGGGGCTGGAGGACCGTGAGGGGTTGGGGGTTCGGGGTTCTGGATCTGACTGCGGTGCTGTTCCTGCAGGTCTCCCGGGTGCCGGGCCCGGGACAGCGGGGCCCAGAGCTGCCATGACGACAGGCGACTGCTGCCACCTCCCCGGCTCCCTGTGCGACTGCCCGGGCAGCGCTGCCCTGTCCAAGTCTGTGGAGGAGTCGGACATGGGCCGCCCTCAGTACATCACGCAGGTCACGGCCAAGGACGGCCGGCTCCTCTCCACCGTCATCAAGGCGCTGGGCGCCCAGAGGTGAGGCTGCTGCAGGGACGGGCCCGGAGCCGCGGCTGGGCCCTTCCCCTGGCTCGGGGGCAGGGAGACTGCAGAGTCTCGTTGTGTGAAGGAGTTTGCGGGGCGCTGATGGCGGGCGGGACTGCGCGGGGCCGGCCGCTCCCAGGGCCCTGAGCCGGCTCCTGCCGCCCTCAGGGCGCGGGCAGCGCCTCCGGCCGCGCTGCGCTCCCGGCCTCGGGGCTGAGCCCGGGCCGTGCTCCCGGGCACTGTGCCGGGCATGGGGAGCGCAGCCCTCGTTCAGGAGCGTCCATGGAGCGAAGGCGTGGTGTTGATCTTCGGCCGTAGGGAGGGGACGGTGTTTGTGTTGCAGGAACTAACTACCGCATCCAGCTATTGCTAGAGGGGACACGTGGCAGCTTCACTAGCTCAGACTCCTCCTGATGCGACTTCTTGTCATTTATTTTGAGTCGCTTCCAGAGTAGAGGACATTTGGCAGCATTGTTCAGTCCGTCTACTGAGAGCTGTCACATTTTGTGTTCAGAAATCCTGTCTGAACAGCTGTTACTTGTTTCATTGAGTTTGGTCAAACATTTGTGTGATACAAAAGCAGTGATTGCAGACATGGGGGAGGGATGCAGGGAAGCTGGATGAGAATAGAGGCAAACATAATTGCAGCAAACCTGGAGCAGGTCAATAAAAATGAGAAAGTAACTGGACTTGCTCTCTGGCAGTAGATAGTCAGGGTGAGAAGCTGTTTAACCCTTTAGAACTTGTGGGGGTGTAATAATTGTGTGGGAAAACTGCCTGGAAACAGGTTTTAAAACCCTAATGTTTTTAGGGTTTAATGTTTAGGGTCAACCCATAATGATTCCTTATGTTTCTACATGGACACCAGTTTGTTTCTTGTGGTAGTGGGTTTCAGTGTCTTCCTTGTCAGCAGCACTTAGCACAGCAAAGCCAAGAGCAGCGTGACTGCGCTGCAGTGTTGAATTACCAATCCCAGGTGACTTCAGGCTGCTGGAAAACTGTGTCTGAGTGTGCATCATGGGGGGAGTGTGAGTGGGTCCCCACCCGGCAGGGGAAAGGAAGGAAGGAAAATGAAGTCTGATAAGAATTCTTTTCACACACTGTCAGCAATTTTTTTCATTTTTCGTTGTTTATTGATAGCCAAGGTTATAGTAATGTTCTGGAAATATGAAACTTCACAAACAGGAAGAGAACGGGTGAAATAACTTACAGATGCTTTTCTTAGGAAATGGCAGATGCATGAGAGCACTGGAGGCTGTAGGGGATTGTCTGTCTGTGTCACTAGGGCTGTGTGTGCATGCTGTTCTGGTACAGCATTTTATGGCAATGAATGTTGCACAATTATCAAATAAATCAAATTGGAAGGGAATTCCATAGGATGTCTGGTCCAGCTTCCTTTCAAACAAGCCTGCTCAGAGTCTTGTCTGATGTAGTTTCCAGGATCTTTGAGGATGAAGTTTCCACCTCCTTCCCAGACTCCTGTTGCACCTTTTGCAGGGATTGTCTTGGCTGAAGAAATCCCCTCAATAAAAGGCATGTAAAAAGGAGGTTCACCAGTGATGTTTGGCAGAGAGAAGGGGATGGTGTACATTGGGTAATTTGCTTTGCAGCCCTAAATATGAATAGAAGTCCAATTGGGATGAATACTGAATTGTATTCATCAATTCAATTCAGCTAAATACTGAATTGAAAGTCTCCTGTGGTAGAGATCTGCTGAGGAATCTTGCTTCTCCTTTAGTGAGCTGACATGCACTTCCTTGCTGGCTCTTCTCTTTCCCTTATGTCCCACCAACCTTTTTCCCCAGTGTGCTCCTTTTCCTTGAACTGTGCTTCCATGTCTCACTCTTGCTTTCTATGCAAACTAAGGGAGGTGGTGCTGCTGGTTTTGAAGGTGGCTTTGGCTGTTGTGTTGCAATCCCACAAACTTCTGCAGTCAGGTGGGGGTTTTTTGAAGTCAGAATAGCAGTTGAGTGTGAACTATGATATGGGTTCAGTATGGCTTTTTTTGTTCTGACAGCAGTACCTAGGAAAAGGAGATATTTGATACCACTCACCTGGATTTCAAGAGAACCTACAATAGGGTCTTTGAAACAAAGATGTTCCTTTTTCACCCCCTCTCACACCCCCAAATCTGAGCAGCTGTGGATGTAAGAGGAAAACTGTATGAAAGAAATGGCTGTTTGGAAGGTGGGAAATGAGATACTAGTGAGGGCCTGGCTTCCATGGTCCAGGGGAGGCAGTCCTGCCCTGGGCCTCTGCTGTCCAGCATTTTCTTCCTAAATGATCTCAGTGATTGGTGAATGCTGAAGAAATTAACTGAACTGCTGAGAACAGCAAACTGTGGTGTCTGCAGCCATCTGGGGCTTCCCAGGGAGCCCAGAATATCCTCATCATGGGGCTGGCATGTGTGGCACAGGGCTGCTAGCAAACCAGTGCCTTGGGGTGCCAGCTGGGATGCCCCATCTCTGTCTGTGTTCCAGGCCAGGTGGGCTGGGGCCTTGAGCAAGTTGATCTAGTGAAAGGTGTAGCACTAATTGTTCAGTCAGTGGTGCCAGCTGAAGGTGTGAGGAATATTGTGGGAACAGATGGATGCTTTCAGTGTGATGAGCAGCTCAGGCCTCCTGTGGGGAAGGTTGCAAGTGTCTCTGAAAATATTTGTTAGTTGCTTTGGTAGATATCTGTGGTTCTGTGAGGTTCTGTGTGATTCTGTAGTTGGAACTTGTGGCCAAGGAGGTGTTCCTGAAGCACCAAAGCATTTCTGCAGGGCAGTTGTTGTCTGGGCAGGGTGTGCCCACAGGATGCTGGAGAGTTACTGTGCAGTGATGGGCAGAGGGTTTGTATGCTGGAGACCTTGCTCTGGGTGCATGCCTGCTGTGAAATACATTGTATTCTTGGGGAGGTGAGCTTCCAGGGTCAGTTCAGTTGTCTCCTGAAATATTGCTGTTCCTTTTGCAGTTCCTGCTCAGCCCAGGCTGCAGGGCTGAGGTGGGCTGAGAGTGGGTAGGTGATGTGGTAAATGTGACCTGATTGCCAGCCTCTTGAGTAGCTGCAGGTGGCTGGGGCATGCTGTGACTGGTGTGGGTCATTTGGCTTTGCTGTGAGTGTCTGGATTTGCAAGAGTGCTTCAGGCTTGGTGTTGGGTCTGGTATCTGCCCCTGCCCACTGTGGGCAGAGCTGAAGACTGCAGGATGTGCACTGCACTCACCTCTGGGGCCAGCTGAGCTGGCCAGGCTGGTGTGCCATCTTCTCTTGTTGTTATGGGTCCTCCAGATTTTAAATTATCTGAAATGTCCTGAGCACCTCCATTGTCCCCTGAGAGTGGTTTCATGCTGCACCATGCTCCTGGCATGCTGTGCCACACACTGCCTGCTGCTCATGTGCCTTTCTGGGGCTTGGTGGGACCAGACCCTGTGGCAGTGTTGTTCTGCCTGCTCTGACTGTGATTTCATTCTGTTTGTCTCTCATTCTGCCTCTTTAGTGATGGTCCCATCTGTCGAATCTGTCATGAAGGTGGAAATGGGGAGGGACTGCTTTCCCCATGTGACTGCACAGGAACACTGGGCACCGTGCACAAGAGCTGCCTGGAAAAATGGTTATCCTCCTCCAACACAAGTTACTGTGAGCTCTGCCACACTGAATTTGTTGTAGAAAGAAGACCAAGACCCTTGACAGAGGTACAATTTTCTTCCTGCTTCATTTTTATTTCCATATAATTTGAGAGAAAATGACTGATTGCCCTGCTGTTCTTGTAGTTCTTGGTGTCTCCTCCTCCTTGCAGTACCTTTGTACTCACAAAAAGAGTCTATTTGAAGAGATCAAGTCCCTTGTCAGACCAAGTGAGGTAGTTGCAAACGTGCAGTAGTGGTGTTTGGGGCAGCTCCTACCTGTGACCTGCCCACATGCCACCTGCCAGTGGCAAGCACTGTGCTTTTTTGGCTGTGCTTTAATGCCTGAGCATCAAATTGCAGGTGTCACAACATGACTGACTGAATTATAAGTTCTCATAAATATTCTTTTTTTTTGCTCCTGGTTTTAATCTTATCTCATTCTTAGATTAGTGCAGCTCTCTTGCATGTGCCTTCCTTGTCATGTTCTGTTCTGAAAAGTGAGATGTGGTGATTGTTGATACTGTTTGTAAAAGACCTGTCTTCCCATGACTAATATTGATGTGTGCTCCTTCAGGCTTTGCTCCTTCCTGCTGCTCTGTGCTCCTCCCAGGTGAAGGAGGAAACAGGACAGGGCTCAGCTGCTCCTCATGTTCCTCTCTGTGTCGACCACAGGGGATCAGTCCCTCAGCTCCCAGAGCTGGAACACACAATGCAGGCTCTGCCTGGTGTGTTGGGGTTTTTGTTTTGGGAACAAATGGACCAGGCCATTGTCTGACCTCAGGGTTCAAGTGTACATCCCCAAAAGAGGAATAAGTAAACAGGTGAGGTACAGTACAAAAGGCTTAAGGATTTGTTTTAGAGATGGTTTAGTGTGTCTGCATTTGAGTGAGCTTTGCTGTGTCAGTGTGCTGCTGCCTTGGCTCAGGGGTTCCTTCAACACGGAGAAGTGTCACTCTGCAGCTGGGCATTTCCACGGAACAGTTCTGGGAGTCCCAGGTTCCTGCAGCCCTCAGCCAGTGGGAGCTCTGGGAGCTGGTTCTTAGCAACACACTCCTGTTAGCTGGCAGCTGTCAGGGATTTGTCACTGCCTGCTACCAGAGCATGTGTGGAGGCAGGTTATTTCAGATTTGTAGTGGTGGCTGCTTTTGTCCACTCTCTCCTGCCCCTTGCCCCATCAGTTAGGTCAAAACTGAGTCACAACTGGAGTTCTAAGTTGCTTTCCGCATTTCTGTTTCCATTCCCATTAATTCCAGAGGTTGCTTCTTTTCTCTTCCCACCTCCCTCTGGAAACTATTTTTCCCCTCCTCCTTTCCAGAGTCCCCAGATGTATTTCTCATACTCCCATCTTCTCCTAGTGAACCTTTGAGTGGAAAAGAGTCCACCAATTGGGGAAGCATTCAAGCTTTAGTTTGCAAAGTAGACCCTAAGTTTTAATGACTGTTTAACTTACAACTGATTGCCATGGACTGGACAGCCCCAGACAGGAGCAGGCCTTAGCCTGCAGTGCTAACCCAAACCATGTATCTAGCACAGTAATTTGTGTGACCATTACCTCAGTGGTTACTGCTGTAACCACTGGGTCTTACTGCTTCTCTCCCAGCTGCTCAGACATATAAATTGGTGCTTTGGCCAATATCTCTCAAACAGTGGTTTCAGAGGTTGCAAAACACTGCTTTAAAACATTTAGGAAAGGCTGTACCTTGGCTTTGAGAACACAGTGCAGGCACAGGGGCAGTGATCTTGCTAGGGCTTATGCAGGCCAAGTTGTGAGTGCAGGTCTCAGATGTTTTAGCTTAAGAGCTGGTTAATAAGTATTAAATATTCGTAGCCAGGAACAAACACGTGGGAGTGTGTTCAGCCATCTTTCACGATGCTGTGGCACCTTGTAACAAGCATAGGCTTGGAAAACTGCACACTCAAATAAAAGCTGAAAGGCTAGTGTGTATAGGAGGAGTTTTTCCTGTGACACCAACTCTGTGCCTCCATCTGGTATGAGGAGCTTGCTGGGAGAGTGGGACAGAAAAGTCTTGTCTGTATTTCAGTGTGGGTGAATGAGCATTCCAGGACAATCAATTTTAGTTCCTGTTGAAATTTGTGAAAAGCCCCTCTGGACTAGAGCCTATAAGGGTATGGTGATCAACAAACAAACTGTGAGTGCTGAGAGGTGATGGATGGGCAGCATTTAATGAACTCAAACACGGGAGAACTGCCACTGTGTTTTCAGAGAGGAATGGACTTCTTGAGCCATTACTGCCAGCTGGCAAAGGCTTTGGGATTCCAGTGGTTTACTACTACTTCTGGTGTATTTGGACTGTCTGTGAGCACAGTGAAGGAGATGATCTACTCTGTTGAGGTGTCTGCTGGGGAGCAGCTTGCCTGAAGTGCCTTGTGAGCCTGGAGGCTGGTAAGCACACGATGAAAGTCACCAGGTGGCTGCTGAGAGTGATCCCCGCTGCAGAGCAGAGCCTAGCATGCTGCAGCCCCAGAGCAGTTCCCTTGCCACAGCTCAGGGGCAGAAAGGTTTTCCCTGGCTTGGGAAGCAGCATGTAGCCCGGTTTGGCACAGCCCATGGTAGCAGGGGCTGCTCTTGCCCCTCTTCCAGGGCTGGCAGCATCCCCCAGCATGGAGTGCAGGGGTGGAGTTCCAGCAATGTGCTGTGGCTGCACTCAGGTGTGCTGGGGCCCTGCACAGCCCCACGTGCTCATCAGCACCTGTGCCCTGGGCCTGGCACTCCATGGCTGGATGGCTCCTGCTGGAGCAGAATGGCTCACCTGGCTTGAAAGGCCACCTGGGTTTGCTGTATTACTTCCACCACGCTATAAACCCTCTGATCCTTGCCTGGAGCCTGGGGAAAGCGACCTGGAGTTCAATTTCTCATTGTCATTGGGAGCTCTTACAGCCACTCTGAGCTCCTGCACCACTGCAATCTGCTGGGCAGAGGCAATGACAGTGAGTGTGCTTCATCCCATGAGGTTTGCTGGGGTTAGAGGCCAACTGACCAAGTGTGACCACTTTGGGGAGCTCCTGCTGGTAGCAGAGGCTCTGCCCTTTGGGAGGAGCTGATAACCCCTGGGCCAGCTGGCTGGCACTTGTCATTAATACTCTGCCTGCAGTCTGGTGCAATCTCATCCCCATACCAAACCAAATACTTTTGGGAAGTGTCATCTCCAAGTTGTTCATCTGTTTCTGAGAAGAGGGCTTGGGAAAGAGGCTGCTTAGTCATTTAAAAATGTCACAGTTCCCCAGCCACCTTATCTGGGAAGTTCTGTGCCTCTTGGTTGTTTGAGAGGAGGGGTGGGGAGTTTTGAAACTTTGGGGGAAGTGATGTTTGTGGTGAGTGTGCTGTTGAGGAGCCCTGATAAAAATCCACTGCTCCTAAGTAAAGCTGTGAAATCAAAATAGAAATTAAGAGCAGAGGATAAATGGCTGGAGACTAGGACTAGGAATGGTGCAGGGGCATGCTGCATGGCAGAAGGGTCTGCCCCATGTGTGAAATGCTATCCCAAGCATTCTTGCTCTCTTTGCTGTCACCTGGCCACAAGGGAATTTGGTAATGTGGTACCTGCTGCTGCTGGGCCTCTGAGGAGAAAGCAGCTCTTGCTGTTGGTTCTGCCATGTCCTGCCTTTCCAGCCTGGGGAAGCTTAGAGCTGGTCATAGTGGCTGCAGCAGTCACTGGTCAGCTCAGCTCTGGGAAGGCACCATCAGCTTCATTAAGAACTGGCTTTGTCATGTGGTTTTGAGATCCTTCAGAAGGAAAGGCTCTGAGGCTGATTTTGGGATCCAGGAGACATTTTGGTGAGTACTGAGGGGAAGCTACATGGCCAAGTTGAAATGCCTCTGTGTAAACTTCCTGATTTCTTAGAAGTCAGGAAATGCCATGACCAAAATTGCCTTAGTTTTTACTTCATGCCACTTGTCTATCTGTGTTACAGTGTGGTCTTCATGGATGGAAGATGCTCACTAGCTAACTGTATTAATCCTGCTATGTCCTTGTTCACCAAGACCAAACTATTCATTTTCTCACAAGCTTCTCTGGGATACTTATTGCTGTGACATCCAAGCACTTCACAAACAGTAATTGAATTTTGCAGCCTCTTTTACAGAGGACAGGTGTCAACTTTGTCCAGTATGAAGTAAAGATAATTTGTTAATAGAATTATATTTTTGTTTTCTTTAAGCAGCCATTGATTTATATTGTGGTCTGTTCAATGTAAAAACAGTGACAGTGTTGACTGCCAGCATGCCTGATCTCTGAACCCAGAGTGAGAGACTCATCTGAGCCCAGAGCCAGCTCTGGCAACCACAGGCTGGCCCATGGGTGTGATGGAAATATCTCCTGCAGTCCAGCCTAGTTGAGCCATTTTTTAACTAACAAGATGGTTAAAAGCTAAAAAAAAATGAAAGGCTTTGGAAAACTGTCCAGCTGTGAGATCACTGGGCTGAGTGGGGGCATGTTTTGGGGGGCATGTTTTGAACATGCAGGTGGAGTTGGAGATGGAGATGGAGAATTGACCTGCAGCCCTGAGTGGAGAGTTTTGTAGTCAGAGGTGCAGGACACTGCTGCCTGTGGTGTGAGAGGACAGAAAGGCCCTGCTTGGCTCTCAAGTGGTCTCCAGCACAAGACAGTTGTGGACCAGGGTTCTTGAGTGAGGAGCATGTCCCCAGCAGAGAACAAAATGGCCAAGCCTCAGAGAGGGATGGTTTTCCTGTATGATTGTTAATTTAATGGACCTCCATATGTTTACAGAAAAGTGATCTGACTCCAGGACACTCTAGCCAACATGGCACAGTCAAAAAAGGCAAAATACTTTCTGTCTTCCCTGGAAGATTTTGTCATTTGATACTTAGATGAAGTATTTGAAGTGTAAGCTACACCAGACACAGTTTTCCTGGAGGAACTACTTTCCTCTTTGTTCTAATGATATCATGCACAGGAAATGCCCAGTTGCTGCCCAGGATTCTTCTTCAGGGAGTATCTGTACCTTTGGTGTCCAGAGCATGGCAGAAGGAGGAGTGCAGGCCTTTGGACCTGAGGGATTGCTGCAGCCTAGGCAGCTCTTTCTCC